GTTTTAACTTAGGGGTTGAGGGGTTTAGGGGCTTAGGGTTGCGGGGCTGAGGGGTTTAGGGTTCAGGGGTTCGGGGTTCAGGGGTTTGGGGGCTTGGGGGTGTAATGGTTTAGGGTTTAAGGGTCTAGACGTTAAGGGGTGTTTAGAATTGTGGGACCTTCGGGGTTTGCTTCAGGGTTCGGGGTTTAGCGACGTTCAGAGTTACGGGCTTTGGGTGTGGCTGTAGGAGTTAGAAAAATGTCAGGGCCGGTACAATTTATTCTTACGCCGAGACGAGGGTCGTGGCCCTCACGGTCCAAGTTGTCGCTGAGAGCCCTCCGCCAGTCAAATCCGGACAGGAGCTCTGCAAGAAGCTTCCGAGGATGCATCAGCGAGATGGTCTCCTCATCCGGAACCTTGGGCTTCAGCTCTATGAGTTTAGCATTTCGGGTTGAGGGCTTCACGGTTTCAGGTTAGGGTTTAGGGCTTTAGGCTTTTAGGGCTTTTGGGGCTTTAGGGTGTAGGGTTTGCCCCCCCGCCCTGTGTTGCTACGACTACTTTGGGTGCGGCCCCCTCTGACTGAAGGTTCTGCCAGAAAGCGAATCTTTCCCATGCCCGTTTGGCTGCCCGAGGAGTAGGCTCTATACCACGCCCCAGTCGAAAGGCTTTAGCCCCGACACCCAAACTGAACCCCCAGCCCTAAACTCAAGACCACCTGAAGCCTGAACCCCCAAGCCACAAAGCTCAGTAGAATCCAATAGAAAGTCCAAACTCCACAACCCAAACCCCTTAAACTGAAGCCTAAAATCTCACACCTCAACCCTAAACATATCATACTAAACGTATTTCAATCTTATTCGTAGACAGTTAAGGTCAGATGACCACTATTATGAATACCTAGAACTCCCAGAGGCAAAGCCCTGAGCCAGGAGACTTTCTCTCGGTTCTTCTCGAGAACCTGCGTGGAGGTCAAATCGAAAGCTCAGCATTGAGTCTCAGGATCTAGGGCTCTGGGTTGAGGGCTTAGGGCTTAGGGTTTAGGGTTTAGGGTCTAGGGCTTTGAGTTTAGGGCTTCACGTCATATTAAAGGAGTGAAGTCGCTACCGAAAATAGACGAAGCATTAACAGAAATCGAAACGCCAGCCACTCACCACGTTCATTATACCTACTCTCCCGATATCCGCGTTTACACTGAAAAGCATCAATCGGCAGTCTTGCAATCTGGCAATTGCTATTAAGAAGAACCCATGAAGCTGTTCAGGCCCCGTACAAGATACCTTTGCTACACGGTAACCCTAATTCGGAGCCATGAAGACAGCCAGGCCTTCTTGTCCGTTTCAGCCATGACTTTCCGCAGACGTTGCAGCCGATCGTCAGCTTTGTCTGCGATCCGATCTTCGATGTCCAATCTGGGCGATCGCAGGGCGCAGGGCAGTTCCGTGAACTGTAGCATTCGCTGCGGCTTTGCAGACTACCGATGTATGAAACCCCATGATCCCGAAACACTCACCCACCATATCAACACAGAACCCAATACGTTATATTCAGGATCCCACTGCAATTATGGTTTGAAGTACGGTGCTACTTAAGGGGTGCTCGTATTGGGCTCTCTGGGCACTTCTAACCTATGAAACTCTCCAATGTGGCTCAGTCGCTCTATCTCGAAGTCCACCGCGGCGGCCACGACTGCGCCGGCGCGGTCACGCTCCGGGGATGACCTTGTGCGGTAGCTACTAGTCTGTGTAAGGATCCTTTTTCCACAAGACCGTTATGACCGTCGCTACTAGTCACTGGTCCATGACCCTTACTCATAGTCATATTGCCAGCGCTGGCATCCACACTACCATGCTTTTCTTTCTTCTTACTGTTGATGACATAAATCCTGCATTACCTTAAGGACCCTAAACTATGGGGATTATGGTATAATCTTTTTTGTGGGTGATGCAGGATTTATATCATCAGCCGCAGTGTATAGCCTCACCGCCTGTG